CTGCAGATTTTATATAATTATAATAAAAATGAGTAGATCGAATAAAAAGCAGCACAAATGATGATATTGCAGAATTTGATGATATTGTTGCGTTGCTCTCAACTGATTAAAATTATTATTAAATAATGACTATATATAAAATATATAAATATTATATATAATATATAATATATAATAATATAAAAATATAATATATAATATATATAAATGTATATATATAATATAATTATTATTAATGACTATGTAGCGCCTGTATCTTGTAATTAGTATAAACAATATTTACTTTGCATAAAGATTAGGTCTATGCCTTAGTGTTAGGTTAGCTTTAATCTTAGCCTCTTTAATCTTGACCTTAGTTTTAGTCATTGTATATCATTCCGACACCTCGAACCTATTCTGTATAAACGAACTCGTACAGCCCGTATAACAATAAATCAAATCAAATCGTGAATATCGCCGGTTCGTCACGAGGACCTGGAATTCCGTGTAGTCGACTCCCGTTGCGGTAGTCTTGGTTTCGAGGGATCGCGACGCCGAGTCGCGCCAGTTCCTCGGAATTGCCGGTGACCGAGCGCGAACGCGAGCGTTGCGTCGAGTCAGGGTGTTGCCAGGAACCTAACAGCGTTCAACCTTGGCCCCGTGGCCCGATTCGCGAACGTTTCGCGCAAAGCCCCGCCGGCTGGCTAAGTCCGTTGGTCGCGTCTTCGATACCGAATCAACTCGACCAACGGAATTAGTCCTCGTCGCGTCCACCTTCGACTTCCGTTGTTCCGACCGGAGAACAGCCTCGCGACAATGCTAATTACTCCTCGGAGCAACTTCCTGCGCGGGTTTCCCGCGAATTTCCCGCGAATTTCCCCGAAACAATACGAGAATTTCGTCGGAAAAAAACGGGAACGGCTCGCCGGAAAAATGTTCAAAGTTCGTTCATTAGACGGGGAATCGAGGACATCGTCGAAACTTTTCGGAAACCCCATCGAAACGCTCCGGGCTGAACTTTCCGTTGACGCAGATGACGGACCGTTGGCGGCCAATCGATATAGGAATAGCTTGCCAGGGAATCGAAGCGAGACCCAGAAGGTAATCCGACTTCCGTCGAGGATCTCTGTTTCGAAATTTAGTATAATACCATTTATTTGCGGACTAAAGAGCCGGACTAAAATCCATTAGCTAACATCAGTAAAGGAGTATAAATAATCGTAATTACATTTTCTCGAAAATTTGATCTATTACGATACTGATTCACACATTGCAAATGGTTCTATTAACGCTCTTTCTGACAAAGACCTTTCTAACGACCTTTCTGACAAAAATATAACTGACTATATTTAAGATCATTTCTAATCTTGTTTATTAATTTCTTTAACATATTTATCAAGGTGCTATTTCTAGATACGTTGCTTCTGCTATAAACTTTAACAATGCTTGTGGAGATTTAAATTAGCTGTCAGGGACTTGATAATTAAATAACAAGAGTTAATACATTTATTACGAGCATACAGAGAAATTTAATAATAGCAATGATAAGAATGTTTATTCGTTTAACAGGACGAACTATTTGTTATAGAATGATAAAATACGATAACAATCGAGCAGAGTGCAAACAAGGAAGAAAAAGAGAAGGAGAAATCATAATAAAATATAATAAAGTAAAATGATGGGAATTCAAATATTTGAAGATAAGCGAAAAGCTGGAAGCACGGCGCACGTAATGTTGAATTTTTAAAGCTATAAATTGAGCAACAAACAGTCTACAGAAACACTAAAACGATTAACAATAGTGAATAATTGATTCATATTTATTCTTGCCGTAGAGTGTACGGTGGAAATTCTCAGCTAGAAGAGAGCGTTTCCTAAGTTGGGACAAATAAGCAGAATTTTTGCGAGCTTTCGCGATCGCGGCAGCGCGCCGTCGAGATCCGTCGACGAATTTGAAAGTTCGGGCGAAACGACGCGACGTCGACGGCGGCAATGGCGTCAGCGTCGGCGTCGGCGTCGTATCAGGAGCACGTGAATATTAAACGATGAACAACAGAGTCACGAAACACTGTGGTGCATTAATGTCGGCCAAACGTGTTCGCGTAGGAAACGGGTCGCGTGCGTCGCGACCATATGCGTTGATAAGCCGTGGAGAGACGGTTCATGGTTGATCCGAAAGATCGACCGCGATCGACCGCCAACCGATTCCGCGTTTCTCTTTCCGTTTCCGTATCGACGAACCCCTCGGCTCGCGCAAACTAGTTCGAGGTTTCTTTCGCCGGCGACGTTTCCACGCAAGTTTTCCGGCTGCGAAACGAGAACGATCTATAGACGAGTCCCTTGACTTACATAAGTTCCGCGCGTACGGGGAATTCATTTCCCTGGAAACGATTAGTTTCGCGCTGGCGCTCGCGATCCGCGGACTATGGACGGGGTAGCGACGGTCGTCGACGATAATTTTCGAGTTAAAAATTTATTCTCAGATAACCGCCCGTTGGCAACTGTTAATCCTGGAACGATCGCGTGGGATGTTTGACACCCCAGCCATATGTTTTATAATTGACGTTCTTTTGTTTCTTGGCGAAATGTTAAGCGGTGTCACCCAGCTGCCAATAGCCGCATTAGCTTTTAATTAAGAGTCGCAGCAGCGTGATTTTGTTCCCGGTATTATTTGCACAGGTCCCTTGGGCCGTCGCGCACCCCACGCGCCGCTTTATGTAACTTTAACTTGCTCGCCCAGTCCAGGCTTAATGAAATTCCTGATCTTGGTGTTATTTTTTCATCCGGTCTCTCC